CGGCCAAAAACTCGATAAACGTTGATTAGAAAGTCTGCACATCAGTATTCGAAGACATAAATAAATCTAAAAAAAAAAAAAAAACATAAATAAAATGAAACAATTTCAATGTACTGGTAAGAGAATCAAAGATAGTAAAATAAGATAATACTTCGGCGTGAACCAATTCGGTAAATCCTAATTTAAATAATTCAACCAATTTTTCATGGATATTGGGAATCTGAGACAAGTATTGATCCATTTTTCCGCAATATATTATGAACGAAAGCCTCCTAAGATTCAATGCTCGATTTAATGACTCTTGTTCTTTATTAACAAACAACGCATTGGCAGGCGTAGTCGTTATTCGAGCTATTATAAATTATAATAAAACTATAATCGAACATTCAAATATAATATTTTCAAGCATAGTAAATGGGTAAAATTAAAAATTTACTCAAAACTTCGGCGAATCTTTCTTTTTCAGATGTCATTATTGTTTGCATTATAATACGCCATTTTTTTGCTGCGACAGGTGGCATATTAAAGAATTTGTTGTCTATAAACACATCCCACGCTTCTTTACGCCAAACTCGGTATGCGAAGGATATCCTTGAAGTCTCACATAGAAGATCAAGCGCTATTGGATTGATACCAGTACTAAAGATTCATAGAGGTCAGGACAGATAAATTCAAACTAGCCTCACTTTATAAAAATAAGTAGTCTTACTTGGTGCGATTTTTCAGAGAAGGTGCTATTACGTAGTACATGAGGTTAGTTAGTATGCCAACGATTTTATCATGATCGGCTAATAATCGTTTAATGTTTGGTATCACAATAGCGGCAAGATATTGATTTGTCTAAAGAGAACCAAATTAATTATCGAAATTTTAAAATACACATTGTAAAAAGATTATTTATCGCACCTGCTCAATCAAAATTTCTTCCTTTGATTTATATGAAGCTTTTTTGTCTTCTTGTATAGGGGCAGTAACGCGACTCTTTTCTGCCTCGTTTTCATTAGTTTCTAAAACAAAATAACATACAAAAACCTAAAGTTATAAAACTTGAGCAGAAAACCCACAAAGAAATACCAAATATGTAAAGTAAATACCTTCAGCATTCTCATCCTCGCCTTCTGGAAGAGGTGTAGAACGCCGAAGCCATAACCCTTGATCAAATGACCGTCCAGATATCAAAATGCAATAATCCAAAACACGTTGATATACATCCTTGTTATAACAAAAATATTAACATAGCATCAATCAAAAAGCGCACGCTGAGTATTTTAATCATACCTGCATATCTTTTCTCACTTTCTTATCTTCAAAATACTCGGTTGAGCATAGTTTGTCAGCCAACCCGTGCATGAACCTAAATTGAGTTTGTGAGTTTAAGACAATTATGAATTACAAATCAGAATAGTGAGCTAACCTCAAAATATTGGGAAATAAATATTTATAAGTTGTTGCCTGCGCAAAATGATCTTTTACGTATGATATACATTGGGGCCAAACTCTAGTTAATGGTTCAAGCTCCCCTAAAGAATCGCAGTAGGCCTCTATAAAACGTAGAATCATTATGTCCGTCCTGTAAAAGATGTTAATAATAGTTAACTAATTGTCATTGCCCTTAAAGAATCAAAAATATTTATATATTGTTAAACTTACAATTTAATGGTTTTAGAGCCGGATTTTTTGACTTTTGGCGCCTGTACACCAAGCGATCGACCACGAGCGTTGATTAAAAGAGTGTTTATGACTTTTGGGACAGAAGAGCCA